AATTGACTTTTACCATTCGGTGAACTATTCGGAGCACCTCCCGTTCGTGGTCCAGTTGGTAAATTGTTTATGTTATTAGGTGAACTGTCTGGAGCACTTACGCTATTCTGCGATTTAATTGAAGATAGTCTATTTGGTGGTTTTTTGTTGGGATCCACATTTTCGATATCCAGAGGTTTTTTTTGTTCTTGATCCGCTATGTTGACTAAATATAATTTTGCAAATTTTTCTAATGCATCTAAACGTTCTTTATATAATTTAGGTTTACGAATTGATTGTGATCGTGAAACAAGTGGTATGACTCTTGAGAATTTTTTTCGTAAGCTGTTTTTTGTTTTACGTCCACAACATGTCGTTTGACATATTCCCCATGGTTCTATAACGGACCGACCTATATAAATATGAAGGAAAATAAAAATAAATATAAATATGAACGGTGTGTATGGTTGTGAGGTTCAAGAAGTAGTTCTTACCAAACAGGCATACGTAAATTCCTACAAGTAAACCGTAAAACGCGGCTAATAACGCGAGTGAATCCGAGACCTGTATTAGAAAGGTTTATGTAACGTTTGCTTAAAAGTCCTGACGATGAAAAAAAAAAAAAGAAAAATTAAATAATGGCATTAACACTCACATTAGAACTCCTACGATTAAATTTTTTTTTTTTTTTGAAAAAAAAAAAAGTGAAAGAAAAAAATCAATATCTTATAACAATAAATATTATAATTTAGTTACATATCAAAAAGATATAAGATTATTTATTTTCTCCTACCTAACTTCAGATTGAATTTCTTCCGTCCAATCTACGGTACCAACGAACAAACTACCATAAGTAGTCGGAGTAAAGCTCGATACTACTCCAGGAACTTGTATCGATTCTATAATAAATCTATTAAGACAAATGTTCTTTCGTATATGCGTATAAATAATGCATGCTAAAAAAACCTACCATATCTTGATTCAATAAAAGGTTGCGGAAAATATGCTGGCGGTACGCCTATTACTGTGAAAAATGTTGGAATCTGAAATTTTTTAATTTTTCTACTTATAAACATCTTATTAGCCTGTATAACATAAAAAAAAGTAAATGTTAAAATCATTAAAATGATAAAGGAAGGAAAATGTGATCTTGTTGTGAATAAATTACCTGCTGATAACCAATAACATGAAAATTTTGTTCTTCCAATCTTTCCATAAAATGTGGATCTAGACTACTAATTGTTTTTTTAACGGAATCAGGCAATTGAGTAGGAACGAACACTGTAAAAAAAAAATAAAGATGAATTTTTCTTTTTCTTTTTTTTTAAAAATAATAATAATAATAATAATAATAATAATAAATAAATAAAAATAATAATAGAATACATTGATCGTATGCTCTAACTTGCATTCCATTATCATCGGTAGCATTATATGCTTCATCAGTTATAGTGATTAGAAAAGAAATTCCATATCTTTTATCAGGTAAACTAAAATTAAAACGATCTTGAATTTGAGGATAGAATAACCCCGTGCAACGTCCTTTGGACGTGTTACTTGGATCTTGTTCTTTACATTCTGTTGGTACGATATATTTGTTACAATTTGCTATATCTTCTTCGGTCGGTGCTCGAAGATCTACGAATGAGGGGGGAAATAAAAGAGGTTTGGTTAAAAGTGAGTTGCTAATGAAATAAAGGATTCGTGATTGAGGGTCATCGAATGAATTTCACATTGAATTTACCGAGATAATTGATTTCGCATGACATGCTAAATTCGTATCTTGAAGAAATCTTTACAACTTTAATAAAGAAAGAAAAAAAGAAAATTCAATTAATGAATCGATTTAAGACGCGTTCTAAATATAAAAAATTTCATCGAATTTCTTGCATTTTCCTCTTCAATATTCAACATGCACGTACCAGGTACGGGAACATATGGTGTAGCGATTAAAGATTTCATTAAAAATGCATCATCGGTAGCAACAAGGAATGTTAAAATAATTCCATAAATGAAAAATATGACTAATAAAATTGTTAAACATAATCCTCTTAGAATTACTAATGGACTATATTCAGTAAATCTATATTTGTTTATTATTTCTCGAGGTTCATGAATAAATCTCGTCATTTCGATTGATTATTTATGATTTTAATAATCTTTGAGTAAAAAAAAAAAAAAAAAAAAAATTCTACTTTTTTTCTTTCAATCTTTAAATTTTCAAGCCGTTACAATCATCAATAATCAATGATCAATTTTCTTTTTGATTAAAAAAAGAATTGACCTGCTGAAAAGAAAGAAAGAAAAGAAGTGCAAAAAACATTTTCCACATTATGATTATTTAAAATCAAAAAAAAAAAAATCTCATGTAACATGTAACAAAAAAAAATCAAATTAACTTGAATTTAATTTAAAAAAAGATTCGGAGAATATTGTGCCGATTAATTTCCCATTTTTAAAAAATTAAATATATACTCTGCATGGAAAAAAGGGGTTCACATTCACTAGACACTAGATCAAACGAGGAAATAATGAATAATATTCCAATTTCACCACAATATGTAAATAAATAAATGATTAATGGAAAAAAACTTTAAAAAGAAACTCGGCAAAAAAATTATTCATGATTAATTGTTTACACAATATAAAAGTAAATATATGCTCTGACCTAGAACTAATATTAACTTCTTACGTGTCACAAAACAGCAATTCGGCAATTCGCATCAACGAGAAAATAATAACTTTCGAATTTTTATTGGTTAGAACAAAACCTATATCGGTTTTGCCAAATTATACGTTTTTCCCTTTTTCATCAATTGGACAATGCGAGTGTAACAATGAATGAGGTAGAATATCAAAGAAATAATTGATTTTTAGACAACGGGTGTCGGGTGGAAACATTTTAGGAAAAAAAAAAATTGTGTTTATTAATATTAATTAAGTGTTTGGCGGGAAATCGACATAAATATTCTGTAAATGTATTACGATAGATTATGGGTGATCGTTATATAATATGTCGTACTAGGTCATATAAATGATCCTAAATTGAATGTTTGTTACTAAATCTTTTTTCATTTGTTTAATGAATTTGATAACGAGTCCTACCAATACTTCATTAATTCCGAACCTTTATGGCGAAAAAGCGTATCTGATAAAATCATTCCGTTAATGGTAACCTACAATTAAGAAGATCATCAATGCCAACATAAATAATAATTGGTACCTTTAATGACAAATAGGGGTAATTTTAATCCTTCCCGAGATTTGATCGTGTAACATAAATAATATATTCAGATAAACTTAGTAAATAAAACAACGGGAAAAACCTTTGTTCCTCAAACGCCAACCTACAGGATTTAAATTTGGAATTCATCCAGAGTTTTTTTTAGTACATTAACTTTATAAATAAAAATTTTACATCAGCTCCTATGCATGACATGATTGTTGTTATTTTGAAATACCTTTTTTTTTTTTATATTAAAAAAAAAAATTCTTTTAATATACGATTTTTCATTAACACAAGGCTTTCACCGCCTCTCTTTCCTGTTTCTCTCAACTTGGTCTAAAATTTCCTTTAACGGCGGCTCTTTTGTATGTTCATTAAGGAATTTACTAGCATAATATCACAGAATAATTGTACGTTATAAAGTAAAGATATGGAATTCGTTCATGAAACATCGGATATTATTCGAAAATATCGAAAATCAGAACCTGGTTTATTAGTAACCTCAAGAGGAATTTTGTTATTTATTCTTGTGGCTTTGTTAGGAGGTTATTTTGCTATCTCGACAGCATGGATGGTCTTAGATAAGGGTATCATAGTGAGCCAATTAAAGCCCGCTACAATAATACCTGTTCCAGGTAAGTTCACACAATTTATTGCTCTGGTAATTCGCCGTAGAAATTTCCGAAGATTAACAAATTTATTCGTTCTTTAAGACGTAGAGATTACGTTTAATTATCATTTTAACATAGCATGTGAACTAAGATATCTAGGTAATGATAAAACTTTCTCTTGATTGACTCTTTTCCTTCATATCCTTCCCCTTCCTCTATCTAATGTTACTTTTTTTCTATTAGATGGAAGTCCATCAAGACCATGTGACGAAGACTTGGTTACGCAACCGTCATGTGACGAACTTTCCGAAGATAAACGATGGCATGGCTGGTTTACTTCAATTGACGGTCGGGTAAAATTTAATCTCACCGAAAATTTATACGGTGTTTGGTTTACGATAAATATTGATGATCCAAGATATCAGAGAGATCTTGATGCGGGAATGTTTGTCAAAGTGCATGATTCGGATTTTAATCCTCGTACTGTACCACAAAGCGTTCATGACCAAGCATTAAAAATTGATCCAAATTTTTATGCTAGATTGGACGAATTGAATTATCATGTTATTGGATTTCATCAGGTAAAAAAAAAAGAAAAAGAAAATAGTAAATTTAAAAATTTAAAAAAATTAAATCTTTTTTTTCTTTTTCCGTTAATATAGGTTAATTGGATGTTTATAAATAGGCATATAAGAAAAAAAATGATCCCATCTTTCTTTAATGTTTTGGGTATTCCACCATCATATTTTGAAGAGGCTTATATAACTTCTAGATATGGTTGGTCATCGAATTATATTATTATTTATCTTTAAAGGAAATAAAAGTGTATCACTTTAACATGATCGTCTAATTGTCATTTCAAGAATCCGTCACAGCACCCGACACCGTAGAATTCGCTGGACAGCCAACAACTGGTCCACAGAAATATGCCAATCTCTTTATCGGAACCTTGAATTGGTTTGAAGAAGTTGAAACTGAATCCAGGTAAAAAATTAATATTATTCTCTTCATTATAATTATACAAATAAATCTTACTTTTTTATCATTTTTAATTAAAAATTAAAAAATTAGAACGCGCCGCGTAAGTATTTTTTTTTTTTTTAAAAAAAAAAAAGTTTGGAATTTATCTATCATTTTAATAAATTTTGATTTTGATTTATTTAGATTTTGGATTCATTGGGCATGGTTGCTGGATTTTACGGTTTATTGGCAGGAATTTATATTTTACTATTCGGTAAGTTAACACGTAATCCTAATCTCTTAAAAAAAAATAGTCATTTAATTAAATTAAGTCAATCTTCCCTTTATATCTTTGTAGGTTACTCACCAATTCTTCCATGGGGATTATGTCAAAATTGTTGCATACGAAAACAAATTAAAGATGACCTTCATGAACAATATCCAAAATCAATTCCTCTTATAGAACCACCAAGTATTGATAAAACCGTAACAGAGAGAATAGATGATTTAGAACGATTTTTAAAACAATTCATTTGCGATGTTGATTATATGGAAGAACTTGTAGAAGATGAAGCTGAGGAAGAAATGGATAACGAGCATGGTGGTGACGTTGAAGAAGAAAATGTCGATGAAAAAACAATTGAATAATTTTTCATTAACAAAAATTTCACTAAAACTTAAAAAAAAAAAAAAAAAGACAATTATGAACTTTCTTCTTCCAACTTTTTTTTTTGATTTTTTTTTTTTTTAAAAAAAAAAAAAAAATACATATTAATTCAAATTTATTTTAATGTACTGTATTCACTTTAAAATTATATTACTGTAATTTTTTAATTTAGAGGACTATGTATAAGTACGCTTGTATTTGTAAAGAAAAAAAAAATTCATTTAATATTTTTATTGATAACTAATAATTTATATAATAAAAAATCGAATTCTCGCAGATTTATTACCGCCACTTAAAATAACAAATTTCCTTAAATATGATTATGATCGCTTTGTAATTCTTGTCATCGTTTGTAGAAAGAATCGGAAACGAAAAATTAAAATTTTAATATCATATAACGATAACTTTATAATTTTTTTTAGCAAATTCGCAAATTTTTATTTGTAGTTTAATTCTAATACTGTAATATAACAGTTTCAAGCAAATAAAAACATGGTAAGGGTACCAAGTTTCGAGTAATGAAAAAATAATGTTGAAATTTATTATATATACTGTAAATAAAGTATATGCTATTATAATTTTCATATAAAGTCCACGATTCCGAAAGAATATAATTTGCAATTCAAAGTTTAAAATGATCTGGTAACAAATCTTTAAGTATAACCTTTAGATAAGATCTATCAGGCTTAATTAGGAAAATTTGAAGATGTTCACCAAATTCAATCATAAATTGTCTTGTATAATTAATTGAATGAAAATAATGAATTTAATTTAATATCTTGATTAGATCATAAATTTTTAACTTGGTCTTATAACTTACCGACAAATTCCGCACGGTCTTGTGTATTCGCTGGCATCCCTAAATAAAAAGATTAGTAAGATGATTTCACTAGAAAATATAAATCAATTTGCTTAAAAACTTACGAGGATACGCCGATAGCAACGAATTTTCGTTGACCTTCGCTCTGTTGACAAATCATATTTTAAAGACACGATAAATAATAAAAAGGTAAGCTCAAAAAAAAAACTTACTATTGCTTTCACAAATGCGGTGCGTTCTGCGCAGATTGCGCCACCTGATCAAACGGACCTAGTTAGTCCGATTTAGCCACACAATTTCCATTAAAATACTAATTCACGTACCATAAGAAGCATTCTCAACATTGACGCCTAAATATTTTAGGAAAATAATTTAGCCATTCAAAATAAATGTGGGGGGGGGGGGGATTTAATGATAAATAGATACCGGTATACCAATTCCCATTCTCATCAAGAAGTGCAGCACCAACATGGAATTTCGAATAAGGACAATAGGCTTTATCTTTGGCTATTGTATATCATGACTTTGTGAGATATTTAACGAGAGGAAATCTAATTAACTTTTATCTTAATACCTTTAATTGATAATTCGATGAGTTTCTCTATTTCTGCTTTAGTAAGTTCTCGTTTAGACATGATGAGAAAATTTTTGAAATTGAAAGAAAAAAGAAAAAAAAAAGGAGAGGAGTGGGTTTTCCATTTATATCAAATGTTTATTCTTCTATTTATGGAAAATAATTAAACCATAAAAATAATTAAATAGAGCTATGATCGGATTCGTCTTCAATTCCCATATATTTAAAAGCACCATTAACCATTTCTTCAGCATTTTGGAGACTTTTTTCCATATATTTAGTAATAGAAAATTTACTTCCAGGCGATGGAATTAATAAAGGACTTTTTATAACATTTGTTATTCGTTCTAAATATGGGTTAATTTCAACTTTAAGATTTGCTATCGCACTATTTAAGAATAAATTTTTAGTTCGGAATTTAATGAATGAAGGAATTCCAGAGGGAAGTGTTTTACGTTACCTTGTGGCCATTGTGGCACAAACAGATAAAGAAGATGGAGGTAAAGATTTTTCATCTTCAACTTCAGCATAACCTTCTTCAACTTCGGGACTTAAATGAATAAAAGTTGTATTACCGGCCTTAGTTTCTTTTTTCATTAACATATCACATACTTTCTTCCTTTCATATTTGATTTGTGGAAAATTCGGTGAATCCACATGTGCCACATGAAGAAAATATGTATTATTTCCTATTAATGGGACCTTTTTTTTTGTTTCAACAAATTCATATAAGTAAAAGGAAGAAAAGAATATTTTTGTATGTCTTTATTGTGATAAACTTACACTCCAACCTATAAGTAAAAATAATCGATTTTTTAATTTCCTTTCGTCAAGTAAAAGTTCGTAACATAATATTCCCTTCGTTCCACAGGTAACTTTACTCTCAAATGCCCTATATTAAATCCGAAAAATTAATCCAACGTTCGTTATCAATATATCAGACGGCATAAATGTTTTTATTACCCAACACCCCATTTACCAGGACCGATAGTTATCGTAGGAGCATTAAAACAATCAGTCTCGGACCAATATTCCATGTTCCGTAAATGATAATGCGAATGATTATTTTCCACTGAAATGGTTAATCCTCTGGTCAATTGTTCTCGGATCGTGCTAACTGTTTGAAGAACCGACGCTGCTGTATCGATCGACATTATAACGGAAGAAAAATACGTTAGGAGAGAAGAGGTTTAGGTGATAAAGTTACATTTATATAGTCGTTATAATAGTTGAATGAAACTGTAACTGTAACACAGGCGATCAATTCTCGAAGTGGAATGATTTTATTGAAATGAATTCTTTACATGTTAACGTTAAGATGATAAAAAATTGTAACCATTAACTAAAGCAGCAAAGGTTAAAACAATTAAATTTATAGAAACGCCAATAGGTCTCCATTTGTTGACGGCAAGATGATTTGCAAAAAGGTTAAAAGCCAAATCCCCATGAATTATTCGTCCCAACAACAAATTACCACAAGCTACATGTAACCAGAATGGTGAAATATAATTATTTACTTCAATAAAAAATAATAAAAGTAATGACAAGGGAACATTTTCGGCAAAATTTCCATGCGCTCGATTATTCCTTTGAAAATGTCTAAATTGATTATAATCCAATTTGTATTTACTGAGTGGGTTTTCTGCAATCATTTGAGTGACGGAAGAATCGACTGATGATTCTGAACGTCGTTTCTCAACGCCTGAAATGTATTCAAGTGTGCTATAATCGATGAAAGAACGAAGAGATTGATGTTAGTCTGATTATTCAGAATATATATATATATATATTTGTTAAAAAAAAAAAAATTTCAGATACTAACCCATCACCAAGAGCTACGAGATATTTTCTACGTACAGATATAGCACGGTACGTTAACAATAAATAATATAAAGTCAAAAGGCTTGCGTAAAATGGAACGATTTTATAAGAAATTCTTTCAATCATTTTTTTTTTTTTTTTACTTTTCAATTGAAAAAGAAAGAAAGAAAGCAGTTACCTTTATATCTAGGATTTATGCAAGACCATTCATTGATTATTCAGCAGATTCAAAATTTATAAAAATTTATCCGAGTTATTTATTATAATTTAGCCGATTTAATCTACATTTTCTAAAAGTCTTTCTGCTACACTATCATCCAAATGTCATTTAGATAAAGGTGTTATTCAAACTTTAAATTCAATAATAATAACTTGAATTTAAAATTCATAATGTTCATTATAAATATAATGAAACCTTTAATAAGAATAAAGTTTTATAAAAAGATTTACTAACGTTATACATATTGCATTAGTAATCTATTTGTATTAAAATTTAAATTCTTTTATTATTATTTAAAAAAATAACTGTATACCGATTTAATCTAAATATTAAACTCGGTTTTTATAAATGTAATCCCTTAAATATTTTTACAAATAGAAAAGGTATTTATTAAAAATAAAGAAATAAAATCATACAATTGATTTTCTTAATTATATTAATTATATAAAAAAGTGTTTATATAGAATTATAATTTACATTTTAAATAAATTATAAGTAGTGACTTTAAAAATTCTTTTATTTTAAACAATAGACACTTTACACAAATCCCTTTTTAAAAGTATGTTTAGTATAAATTATTAAAAAGGATATTTATATAATTCTAATTAAATTTGCAATTTATAAATTAATTATTAAATATTTGTTATACTATTTATAATTTTAAATAAATAAAAGAAATACATAAAATAATTTATAATGTTAAATTATTAATGTAATTTTATATTATGACTATAATGAAATATTTATTATTCCTTAAACTTTAAAATAAGCAAATTTGCTTACAAACTTTTTTAAATTTTGATTTTATGTTATAGATTATCAAATATAAAAAAAAAATCTATAAAAAATTTTACATTATATTCTTTAAATATTATTATACAAAAGAATATATATTTTATATTATTTAATTTAAAAAAAATAATATTTATAAACTTCTAAAAGTTAAATAACTGATTTGGTTATTTTATAGACAAATTTACTATAAAATTAATTTTTATAAAGTTAAATAAATATTAAATAAAAATTTTAACCTATTTTTTTTATTACAAAACTTAAATAACTTTAACATTTCAACTATAGAACAAGCAAATTTATCTATGATAATTATTAATATTTTAATTCATTAAATTTGTTAAAAAATTTACTTTTTGAAAAATTTTTCATAATGTTTTTTTTTTGTATGTTTAAAATAATTTATTTTATATAAGAAAATAATAAGGTTTATTTTTACTTATTTATTTAAAATCATAATTCAAATAATTTACATAGGTATATTCAAGTTTTTAATAGTTAAAGATTATTGAAAAAAAATATAAATTATTTATCATATGAAATAACTAAATTAATATCTTTATTTAAATAAGTTAATTTATATTTTATCTAATTATTTTATAAAATTTTAATTAACTTAAATTTTTTTTTAAAAAATTTATATTAAATAATATATCATATACACTACCTGGAAATAAGTTTACGCAGTTTTGAAAAAATAGTAAATAAATTTGTGCAGTTTTGAAAAAATAGTTTATTATCGTTTTTTTTTAACAAAATATTA